TGGCTATTTATATGATTGTTGCTGTTGTTGTTGTTGTTGCTGCTGCTGTTGCTGCTGCTATTATGGTTGATGTAGGCGGAAGCGCTGTTTGTTGTTGTTGTCGTTATTGTTGCATTTGTTGTTGTCGGTGGGTGGTTGTCGAGCTTGGACGCAGCTGCCGCTGCCGCTGCTGCCGCCGTCGCTGCTGCTGCTGCCATATTGAGCTGCTGCTGCAATTGCAGCTGCTGCTGCTCGTCATCCTGCTCCATGGGAGCATCTTGTAGTATAAATTCGATTTGTTGCGATAATGCGCTATCATTGATGGCAATCAGTCCGTCCATATCTTTGGCCGCGACGTTGACGGCGGCAGCGCAGCCACTGCTATTATTATTGCTGCTGCTGCTGTTGTTGTTGTTGCTGCCGGCAAAGAGTGAAGGCAGCGCAGTTGCGTTGCTGCTGACTGCATTTGTTGCGCTGCTGCTGCTGCTGGCCATGGCAACACCAACGCCACCAACAACAACAACAGCACAAACACCAACAACAACAACGCTGAAAGCTCAACTGCTCCTGCTGTTGTTGTTGCTATTTTCCTGCTGCCTTCCTTTTGCTTTTCCGTTCCTTTCTTATTCTCTGCCTTTCCGCAAGTTTTGCTGTCACTCGCTCTCTGGCTCGCTCCTTTTTGTGGTGCGTTCTTCGTGTGCGTTTAGCGTTGTTTGCCTTTTGCTTGAGTTTTTCTTTTTTTGTTTTAGTTATTGCACGTTACTTCGTTTTGTTTTTCTACTTCTACGGCTATTCTCTATTGCCTAACGGCTTTGTTGTTGCTTTTGTGTTTGCTTTTATTATTGTTATTATTATTCCCGTGTGTGTGCTTTTTGTGTTTTTGTTTTGCATACGATTTGTTCGTTCTTTTTTTGCTGCTCTCTTTTGTTGCACTCTTCTCTCGCTTTAGTTTGAAGCAATTGTTTCGCTTTGCTTTGCTTTGCTTCGCTTTTTGTGAACGTCGCCGCGTCGTTCGGTCATGCGTTGCTTTTTGCTGCTTTCCACGCGTTGGCGGCGTTGGCGGCTGCTGCTGCGACGCTGTGTGGCGCTTCTTCGACTGCTGCTGCGGCGGCTGCGGCTGCTAAGGCGCATTCGTTGGCTTTACACATTTTATTCATTTATTTGGTATTTCTCGATATTTTTATATTAATTTGTTTCTTTTTATTATTATTTTTAGTTCTTGTTTCTTTTACTTGCATTCAAAAAAACAACAAAAAAAAGAACAACACATTGCATACGTTCCAACAACACCAGCAACAACTATAAGTAGAAGAAGAAGAGGAAGATGTGAGGTGGGGACACTTTAAAGGCGTTGATTGTTATTGTTATTATTATTATCGATTTCCTTTTTGAATTGCCATTTATCAAATGCTCGTGCAGCTGTTTCGCCGTCTCTTCTAACTCGTGCAATTATTCCAAACATTCACATCTAAATATATATACACATACATATGTATATATGTGTGTGAATTCGTATATATAAGTATGCACATGTGTATATATATTCACTTTTTGTATTTGTATTTAATTAGTAAATGCGTTTTACAAAATACTTTAGGTCCCTTCCTGCCTGTTTGCCTGCCTCGCTCGCACTCACACTCTCACTCTCGCCTCTTGTTCACACACACACACAAGCACACACGCTGGCTGACTGGCACACTCACACGCACGGACGCACGCACGCACACAAACGCAAATACGCGCGCGTGAACAAAAACAACAAAAAATTAATTTTAGCTTTTCCACAAGTTTTTCACATTTGCTCCATTTTCATTGATTCCATGATTATTCTTCTTCTATCTTGCACACACCACACTCATTTTGACCTTTTTCCTGTCGCCTTTGCACGCTTTTCGCTGCTACAATTGCTGCTGCTTCCTCTTCTTTTGCCTTATTCTTTAGCTTTGCTTTCAGTTTTTGTGGCCTATTCCTTGTTCCCGTGTCGTTTTTCACACACCATAAAAACGTCAAACTTGAAAATTTTTTGGTTATTTTTGGGTATGGAAATTTTATATATATGTATATACAAGTGTATATGTATAATTGTATATCTATATTTATTTGTATATTTATATTTTTGTATTTTTTGCTTTTATTGGCTCTGCGTGATTTTGCTTTTGCGACGCGACGCGACAGCAAAAGATTAGCGGCTGCGCTGCTCTGCCTCTGCTGCTGGTGCTGCTACTGCTGTCAATTTTCTTTGCTCCCCCGCGAGCATTTTTTTTTTTTTTTTACCGCTGCTGCTGCTACTCATACAAAGAGAGCCGTTTTGGATCTTACGTTTTTTGTTGCTGTTCTTAATTTTTCGACCACACGCTTTCACACTCAGATTCGTGTGTTCGGCACACAGGGTTGCATACACGCACAGGCGGCAAACAACACTGTCAGTGTTGCCAAACGGACGACGGTCGCCGGCCGGTGTTGCGCAGCGCGCAATTTGCGCACAATTTTAAGCAGCCAACGAATTCACAGCACAACAATTAAAATTCGATTGCAATTCCTTTTTTTTTAATTAAATACAACATTTTATTTGTCTCACACAAGCGAAATAATTACTCAACAACAGCAAATTAAATTGCGTTGGCTATTGTTCGCTTTGAGTGCCAGTTGTTTTTCGTTGGCTGCTTTGTGCTTCTTTTTGGGCTTACGATTCGCCTTTAGTCACACACACATCCACTCTCACACAAAGCGTACACCCAATTATAAAGGACAGGGCGCTTGGAGCTAAACTTTTGGCTGCGGCATAATAAGCGTCACAAGAGAGTGAGAGAGAAAGAGGAGTGAGTGAGCAATATAATGCGCATCAGAGTGACGAGCTGAGCAATGTAGAACGGCAGGGTGAGAGAGAGAAAGAAAGAGAATGAAAGAAAGGCAAGTCAAGAGTGGAGCGCAGAGCCGTTTTATTTCGACAGTTTTTGAATTACGGCGCTGCTACTGCTGCTGCCGCTTGTTATTTTAGCTTAACACCCCAACAACAACAACAACTATAACATCACCTTCGTTCGACCGAGAGTCAATTTTCATGGTAGCTGTCGTCAGGGGGTGGTGGTTGGCGTTTTGGGTTGGTGGTGTGATGTTTCTATTGTTGTTGTTGCTGTTGCGCCCGTTAACCAGGAGCAGGGGCATTGGGGGTTGAATTTGGTGCCAGCAGGCGTCGCTAAATTCCATGCACACACACTCTCTCACGCAAGGGACCAAATTAACACAATATGAAAACAAAAGAGAAACCAAAATTGCGGTGCTCTGTGTTTACATATATATGTAAGGCCAATAACTATTATGGTACCCTCTCAACTCCACCCAGCCGCACACTATCTCTCACACACACCTACACACATTCGTGTTATGTTTATATTTTTTCGTCTAGCTTTTGCGCTTTTATTTTGCCTCTGTTCAGAAAATTTTCGCTACGTTTTTAACTGCTTCGCACTCACACGGACACGCTTACACACTCACACATACACCCGCACGCGCGACTTTGACAAAACATTATTCCGCATTTGTTTTCGTTTTGTTGGTTTTCGATTATTGGTTATTTTTACGCTTTAGCATAAGTATTAGCACTTACACTTGTCATCACATTTTTATCACTTATTCTAATTCGTTTTGGTTTTATTTAATTGAGTTTTGCAACAATTTACTGCATTAGTTTAATGCCTTACGCAGTTTGGCTTTACGTTGCGCATTCATGCGTTCGCGTTACTCATTTTAGTACTAGAATTGAGCATATTGCGCTGCACGCGCGAATGCTTACTTACGTTACTCACTTGACGACATTTCGTTAAATGAGCATTAAACGAACTCAACGAAGCTGCGTTAACGTTAATTTGGAAGTTGATTTTTGAATTAATTTTTAAATTGTTACAAAAATGGATTAAAATGGATTTATGGGTAACAATTTAGTTGTTCTTCTATGGAAACTAGTTACACTTAAGTTAAAAAATTGTAACTTAACTTTTTTAATGAATTAACATTTTTAAAGATTTTTAGACTTTAAATTGTAAGAAAACAAGTTCATTTTCGCCAGTTATATAGTTTATTTCATGTTTTTGTATAAACATAATTAGTTTGTAATTTAATTAGAATAAACTTTACTATTAAGTTGAAAACATTTTTAATGAATT